CAGTCCAGCGTCAACATCAGTACTTACCGAGTGGATAACATCCGGCTTCCATCGCATCGGTTAGACGACACGGTGCTTGATTCATTCATGAAAAACACGAGACTTTATCCCAATTAACACGAATCTCCACTCAATTCATGCGACCACGACGGTGGTCATTAATTACGTGGTGCCACTCGTGACCGCTTCGTCGATACCAGCGGTTCGGACACAAGTTCGAGAAGACAAAGGGGATATATGAACGTGGAAGAGGGTTACGGAGAGGGTAGAAAATGCCTAGACCTTTCTGTACTCAGTCTTTCTCTTGATCTATGTACCTATCTTCTATCCGGCAAGCGTTAACTACATCCGAACGTTATAAGCTGTACGTTATAGCTGGCTAGTCTGACAGTATTTGAAGTAACTACCTGGGACCTTAGGTGATGACGCGGCGCCTTCTGAGATTATTTTTCCTAGCTATTTCTACTTAAAGAGAAATCTTTCTCACATAAATATTTTATTTATTTAAAATCGTGAAAAAATACTTATATTTTATAAATATTTATGAAATATAAAAAAGATTGTATAGTATTTCGCAAATATTAATATATTTTTATTACTTTTTAAGTAGCAATTGAATATCATTGACAATCTTCTCACTCTATGAAATAGAACTAAAGCAGTCTTTATGTGTTTTATCTTATATTTTATTTCTTTCCTTTCTTTTTGTAAGAATTAAGATGTAAATTTTATGCTAAAACAAACTACTTTTTCCCTTAGCAAAATTGCGTCCGATAAATAATTTCTGCTCTTATTTGTTAACTTCAATCTACTCTTCTGTAAAAACTACTCATGAATTTAAATTCTTTAATGAATTTTAATCTCTAATTGCTATCGACTTTTATTTGTATTCTTTATCTGGCTTTCAAAATTTATCTCTTCGTTTAGATCCGTTTCTGTGTCTATACTCATTCATATATTGTTATAATGACGTTTTTCCTTGGCATGAATTTTTTTCTTCACCAACATCATTGATTACACCTTATCTCTTCTCTTCGCGAGCACGCACTCGTCTCCCACATATACCCACTGTACGCATCACACATACACATTCTATCTTACGCGACGTGTCACAAGCGGCCGGCTTGTCGTATTTTCGACGAGACGTGGAATTCGGCCTTGACAGGTAGATAAGACGAGATGGCGAAAGAAAGCCACGCCGCGTACAGTCGCGTGGCTCTCTTTTCCGAGACGGGACTCGCCCATCCTCTCGGCGTCATCGGCACTGTGAATTTTCCCCCCTCGGCACTTTTTCTCGTGAATCGATACCGCCGTCGTCGCTGCTGCTGCACAAACCGGTCCACTTTAGAGACGCATAGTAACGCCGATCTCGGATATACTCCAGAACCGAGTTGATGCCGAGTAGAGGGATATCTTTGGAGCCACGTGAGAGAAAATCCTCCTTGCGATCCATGATGCCGTGGTACTGAATGATCGCATAGCAGCGGCATGCATGCGGCTCATGGAGGAGCGTATGCATGAGTCGGATGTTCGTTACATATGATACAAACATTTGCTTTTAATTGGCTGACATTATAACGCATCGATCCAATTAGAGGCCGGGTGGAATAAATCGTTTAATCGGTGACAGAGATTTACATTCTTCTTATATATCGGAGGAATCGCCTATGTGTCGGACTCAGGCTTGCGTAATCTTCCTTCCTGCTGTGGCAATTATCACGGATGTGTAGTTGAACGCAGTTGAATGTAGAATAGTCTAGTGGCTGTTGACTGATCACGATTAGACGTCGCAGATTATATTGTTTCACGATTAACATGTTTCGAGTCGACCGACGGTCAGCATTAAATAAATTATTAAATTGGTTTCTACATTATTAAAGAATTATGTCCGTAAACATTAAAATGACAGGGAAAGTCGGAAGTTGATATCTGCGTATAGATCGTTCTTATCCTAAATCAGACAATGCAAACGACGAGTATATGCCTTTGAGAGTCGCTGTGAGAAAATCGTGATCATTCGCGATATGGCTTTCAGTTTTCCCAGGTGGATCTTCTCCACAGTGAAAGTTCGCAGAATCATCGGACGTATCCGTAGAAAGTACTTCCGCTGGTATCTCGTTCACAGGCCGCCTACAATATTTGGAGATTAGTTGTAATAATTTTTTGATATTCTTTACAGAAATCCAAAATAATACTGGCCAATTCAATACTGAAAGATAGATGGTTAATTGTCTACTTCGAGTATCACTCGGTGTTTAATAAATAATTAATCACCATCTTCTGGCATTAAATTTCTGTAAGGGAAAAGATTCTCATGTTATGTTTTAAAAATGTAAAATGAATACAAAAATATTTTAAATATATAAAAGTCATTAAGAAGATATCATTGTTATTAACTTAATTCTATTAATGCTAATTGAAATGTTCAATTCGATTAATTTTTTAAATAAATTTAATGATTATCTTTTCATATTTAATAATATTAATACAGAGCGTACATGTAACATTTTCAGTATTTAGTGTAATATCTTTTTGTAAAAAATAATACTTAATTATTAAAAAAATTTTTTTTAATTAGTAGTAGACATGAGAATCTTTTTCTATCTTCTTCAGAACGTTCAGAACGTTTAAAACGTTCAGAACGTTACATCTTTTTATTTATGATAAAAATACACATTGCACTATGCCATAATTCCGAGAATATTATCATTGTATAAACGAGTGATGACACCACGCCCGCAATTTACCATTGACGCAACTCGGTAAACGCTACGCGATGTTTCAAAAGCGCTAATGCGCAACGCGAATTCGCATGTGATTTCTTTAACGATTATCGACTGTCGGACGAAAGTTCAAGGCGTCCTACGCTTAAATTGTCGACGAACTTCCTCCACGGCAGACCCGGAAGACGGTCGAACACAAGCTTTACATGTAACCGTTTATCCACGTCGTAACGTAGTCGTCAGTCGACCCGATATTTGCGGCGAGTGGAATATGAAGAAGCCGCCGGGATAATACGGACTGAGTACAGTGGCCCTGATGAGTCGTTCTTCCTTTTAGCGATAGACACAAAACGAGCACTAACGTTTGAGAAAACATGTACTCAATCATACTTGAATGAGCGACAATTAAAGTTAGCTCGCGTTCGCTTATGGGACTGTTCTGTCTTCGCTTGATTGTTTAGATTATACCGGCGGAACTGACTCTGCAATGAGTAACGATTTTGTGGCTACGTAAAACTGTTGCGTTGAAGTGGATTAGCGTTAACTACGCGTTTAACTATAAATACAAATTTTAGTTAATTAAATTTAAATTGTTCTTCTGTTTCTGTGTATCGACAATAATATTACGTAATCTTAATCTAACAATAAGAGAGTTGAGAGGCAGCGAACCATCAGCCGAAGTTAGTTAAACACTGTAAGAAAAAGATTCACACTTATTATCTCTGACGAAGTAATTAACAGGTTTCTTGATACGATCATCATCATCGCGATAGACATACGTTGTAGTTTAATCGCACTTTGGAAAAGGAGCAGAAAGATATCTGAGCTCGATCTCTCGCTCGTGCGTTCTCATCATCACCGATGTAACATGAAGGAAACGCCTAATGATCCGCGAAGTCGACCATCGGTTACGCGACCGCATATCACCAGCCGGCCAGTGAAAGACGAGAACGGGAGAAACGCGTTATGGGGAACGAATGCACGAGCATGCACGTCGATATCGACGTTCTCTGTCCGAATTAATCATCGGCATAGTCCTTCCGCCGAACGCTAATGCGGTCAGTTAATCAAACTGCGTGCGGAATGATAATTATCTGTATTTGGATCTCCAAGGAAAAGTGGCAGACCAATGGCGTAGTATCCGGATATGCAAAAGCTGCATCCTCCCTTTTACTCTTTAGAGTTCAGTAATTATATCTTAAGAGAGAAACAAATATATGGATCATATATGAAGATCTTTTTTTTTTGTGAATACAAAAAATCAACAATTCTAGATATACTTACACTAAAGAAGGAAGGTGGGTTATTTATGCACTACATAGTTGTGGACTCGCGACAGTTGTTTCTGTATTTGTCGTTAAAATATCCGAACAAATAGTACTTAATGTCGTACAACTTGATGTTGATGAGGATTCATGTGTTGATAAAGTTTCTTGCAAATAAAAATGTTAGAGCCGTCGAAATTTTACGTAAACTGCGCACAATTCGGAGAAGAGACGCTATCCACGGTGCAAGTACGCAGCGGCACTCGATACTGTCGAATGTTGTTGATTAGTCTCTGTTCATCTATTTTTAGAGTTTCGAATGTTTTTTTTCTATAACATCGGAATTCGTTTGAATGCACGTCATTGCCGCCTGCATGCGTGATAATAATTTCTTATTAGCGGCACGTGTCTGAAAGAATACGGAACATATTCATGTTTTGTAAAATAATTATCCTTGTTATAAAAGAACATAATTGGCTATACAAATGGCAAAACAGGTATGTATCATTATTTATTGTCAATTTTTAAAAAAGAATATCAAATAGATTGTTTAACATTACAATCCGAAGCGCCACTACGGTCTAAGTATTAAGATGTTGAACTAATATATTAGGTGTTGGAATTAATTCGTAGCGTTTTACAAGTGATGGGAAGTACTTTCATTAATGTATTTTTTAATGCTCATGTGAAATAAATAACATTCTTTCATTAAAAAACGCTACGAATTAATTCCAACACCTAATATATATTATTCAAACGAATGAATTAATTTCAGAAATAATAATTACGTGTCGATATGATTGTCGACATTAACGCAATTAATCTGAAATGTAATAATCCCCCCAAAATTCCCCAAATTAATCTTAAAAAACTGTAATAAACTTATTGCGAAAAAATATTGCCTCGACCGGGAGTCGAACCCGGATCTCTTGCATTCCGTGCGAGAAATAGATTGTTATTCACTGACGTATAAATATTGCTACGACGATTGCTACGTGATGCGATAAACATTTACAGTGCAACCAGCGCCATAAAATTACAATATCAGTGGTATTCTTGGTCTTGATGATGGTAATGTGTGCAATGTTCGAGGGATCTGTAAGTTTTAATTTAAACATGATTGTTTATGGATAAATTTTTGAAAAATAATAAAATTCTATTCTGTGTGAAGGAATCCTTCGGTTTTACAATCGTTGCGGATGTCGTAGACGAACCACAACACCAACAACAATAACAACGACATCATCATCTACAACGTAACCATCAGAGTTTATCAAGGCCACTACATAGCGGCGTAATAACCAGAAATAAATTGAATCTTATGCCTATCTAGTGAAATAGACTAGTGAAATAGTTCTAATGAAATAGAAAAGTTGTACAGAACTGTCTAATTTTTTAGTTCATTGTTAATCGGTAATGTAATGCTGCTCACTTCTTCTACCAAAAAATTAGCTAAGGCTAGGAATAAAAAATTAATTAGTAAGTAGTCTATCCTGGACCACATAGCGACTAAATAGCAAATAAAAATAAAATAAAATATTTATCTTCTTTATTGTCATTTTTCTTCTCCATCTAATCCCAAGACATTTTATAATTGAGGATTCTGTATCAGGAATATCTAACCTTTTTATTAATTAAAATTTCTATACACTTATTACCTATTTTTATTATATTCTTTTTAAGATATGAATGGATATTTTCTATTTATAAAAATTTTGTGTATACTAGGATATAATTATCCATTATATTATTTTAAAATTAATATATTAGGTCTATAAATAAATTTTGATCCTTTTTTTTTACAAAAAATATAATATTTATTTATAAAAAACCAAAGCACATGTAAGTTTTGAAAATAATCTCCATCACTTTCGACACACTTTTTGCCGTCTCTCGAACAGCTGGAGAATTTTCCTTTCGGAAGAACGATGGCGATTTTGATTCAATAAATTCGATTATGAAATTTTCGACTTCTTTGGATATTTCAACGAGATGTTGCTGTAGAGAACAAAAGAGGTGAAAATCTCTAGGAGCCATATCTGGAGAATCAGCCGCATGATGGAGAATTTCTCAGCCCAAAATATAGATTAATTTTTTGGTTGCTATCGCCGAATGGGCCGTGCGTTATCGTGCAGTATCACCTGACGAGTTTCCTAGCCGGTAGGGTCGTTTTCGTTCGCTTTGTCACTTAAACGCATCAATTGTTGTTGACAACGCTTAGACGTTACAGTTTCCTTAAGTTTTAGCAACTTAAAATATAGCACACCTTTCACATCTCACCAAATGCATAACAATACTTTTTTTGAATGAATATTTGGTTTTGCGATTGGCGTTAACGGTTCTCCGGGATAAACTCATGATTTTTTTCTTTTAGGATTCTCGTATATAATTCACTTCTTATCATCAGTTACGATTTTAAACAGAAAATCTTTCTATTTACTTAAAATTTACTTCTATTTACTTTAAATCTTAACAACGGGTGTCAACAAACTGCTGTGTCGTTTCGCTTTGTTTTCTGGGCTGAGCACGTACGGGACTCAACGACCAGTCTTCTGTATTCTTTCCAGCTTCTGCAATCGATGGGAAATTGCTTGTTGAGTGACATCTAGTTATTCAACAAGCTTCTTTTGTGTTTGACAAGGATTTTCTTGCAATAGCTGATTCAATTTCTCATCTTCAACTTTTTTTGATGCTTCCGAACGATATTGATGAGAAAGATCGAAATTACCCGTCCGAAATTTTTTGTACCACTTTTTGTATGTCCTTTCAAACACCGTATTTTCTCCTAAAACGGAACAAATTTTTTCCGCTTCGAGAACATTGTTTTTTAAATGAAAAGCGAACAGAATACAATGCCTCACGTGGTTGTCGGATGACATTGTTCACTTTTAAGGTTTGTGAAATTATTGTCTAGCAAGGTTATCATATGTAATTTTTTTTCATCATAAAATTTGGTACTACGAATCCCCAAAGCAGCGAAAAAAAGATTTGAATTTACAGTAAAGTTACAGTTGGTTAATTCAGAGAAGTCAGAACTTATTTGTAGATCTAATATATTAGGACATTTAAAATTATATTTGCGATAGAGAATACAAATGAAGAAACGAGATCGTATTATGTAAATATATATATATTATTTCGTTTTTAAAATAAAAGATAAAAACATTTTATTATGAAATTTTATTCGGAGAAAGTTACACTATTGCTTCAAAGCAAATAATCTCTCAGACTAAAAGTCTCTACTGCTACTGCCCAATGTATGTAAATCACGCATTACGGTTTCTACAGTGATTGGCCAATTTGTTTACTGCTTACGTATTACTGTCTTATATTTTTGTGTCATAGGCTTTAATGCGTCGTCTATAATGGTAAGAAGCTGGATTAAGAAGTAGGCATAGAAATCGACCTATCATAGTTGATTATCCTCCTCATCAATCGATTATGATTGATTGATTTCTATACGCCTACTCTATAATTCACTACTGCTACTGTTCATTGTAGACGAGGCTTATCACACAAAAAAACTTAAACAGTAAAAAGCAGTAAGGAAATCAACATATTGAATGGGTTATTAATGTTTATGTTACGGTCTCGAAAATGATTGGCCAATTTGCTTACTGCTTACATTTTACTGCTTAAGTTTTTTTGTGATGGTGCTCTAATTCATCGATTATGACACATGTCCTTCACGCACAACGATTATTGCGTTCTTACGTATGGTATATAGAGTTTCGATTATCATGTTTTTTTCTATTAAAGTGCAATTTCATGCAGCGAAGGAAAGCTGACTTTTTATCCTCACTTCACCATAATCAAAACAACACACACAAAGCACTCGATACTGTTGAATGCTGTTGACTAATCTTCGTTCGTCTTTTTTTAGAGTCTTGAATGTCATGTTTTTTTTCTATTACACCAGAATTCGTTTGAATATGCTTGTCGGACGTCACTTTCGCCTGCATACATGATAACAATCTCTTATCAGCGACACATGCTTGGAAGAATGCGAAACATACCCATATTTTAAAATAATTATTTTTGTTATAAAGGAACATAATTGACAATGGGCTACACAAATGGCAAAACAGACGTGTATCATTATTCATTGTCAATTTTTACAAAATAGATCGTCATTCACCGATATAAATATTGCTACGACGTGATGCGACGTAAACATTTACAGTGCAAGCAGTAGCAGCGCAAGATTGCAATATGAAACTATCAGTGGTGTTTTTGGTCCTGATGATGGTAGTGTGTGCAATGTTCCAGGGATCTGTAAGTCTTAATTTAAACATGATCATTTATCGATAAATTTCTGAAAAATAATGAATACGTTGTATTCTGTGCGAAGGAATCTCTTCCTTGTGGTAGAAACCGGAGACGAACCACAACAACAACAACAACAACAGCAGCATCAGGGTAGCAGCATCATAGGTTTTGGCCCAGGCACAATATAATCTGAGATAAATTGAACCTTATGTCTGTTTAATCATGGAATAGAAAATGTGTCTCACATAGCTATTGTCTAGTTTTTTAGTCATTTGTTATCGATAATGTAACGCTTACTTCATCTAATAGCTATACCAAAAAAATTAGCTAAAGGTAGAGATGAAACATTAAATTAGTAGTAGTCTAGACACAGCGAGTGCAAATAAATAAATAAAAAACAAAATAAAATATTTATCTTTTTTAATGTCATTTTTTTTCTCTATCAAATCTAGAGACAGTTTTAAAATTAGGATTCTGTGTGTTTATCAGGGGTATCTAACTTCTAGATAATTTTTATTAACCCGACTTTCTATGTACTTGTTGTCTTTTTTTTATTCTTAAGAAATTCTTAAGAATATTCTTCTGAAGAGATGAATGAGTCATATATTCTGTTATTAAAAATTTTCTGCTCTACTTAATCACAATACACAATTTGAATTGTATCTAGAAATTTATTTTATATCTGGTAAGACTTGAACCTGAAACTGAACTTGATTTTTGAGTTCATCTTACGGTGCGCCACGAAGTGCATCGAAGTTGTCCGCGCCAACGCGACGTACCACTCATTGATGTCGCTCGCGCCGTTCGTTTCACACGCATTAAAGTTACAGTTCCGTTCCACACATCGAAATTATTGCAGCGATTGCATTGCGATAAACAGAGGAGAAAGTATAATTCACCGATTATGACATGTATCCCTCATAATCATGAAGATTGTCGCGTTGCTACGTTTGTATGGTACGTAGAGTTTCGATTATCATATTTTTTTTTCTATTACACCGGAATTCGTTTGAATATGCTTGTCGGACGTCACTTTCGCCTGCATACATGATAACAATCTCTTATCAGCGACACATGCTTGGAAGAATGCGAAACATACCCATATTTTGTAAAATAATTATTTTTGTTATAAAGGAACATAATTGACAATGGGCTACACAAATGGCAAAACAGACGTGTATCATTATTCATTGTCAATTTTTACAAAATAGATCGTCATTCACCGATATAAATATTGCTACGACGTGATGCGACGTAAACATTTACAGTGCAAGCAGTAGCAGCTCAAGATTGCAGTATGAGACTATCAGTGGTGTTCTTGGTCCTGATGATAGTAGTGTGTGCAATGTTCCAGAGATCTGTAAGTCTTAATTTAAACATGATCATTTATAAATTTTCTGAAAAATAACGAAGTCCTACTCTGTGAAGGAATCCATTCCTCATCATGAAAAACATGGACGTCATGGATGTAGAAGACCCAGTACAACAACAGTATCGATAACTACAGAGTACACTACGATACCTATAGAGGCTACTACTGCTGGATAAATTGAATTTTATGCCTAAGTATCTAGTCATGAAATAGAAAAGTTGTGTCTTACATAACTGTTGTCTAGTTTTTTAGTCAATTGTTGATCGGTAATGTAACACTTCTCACTTCTCCTAGTACAAAAGCTAGGGGTAAAAAATTAATTAATAAGTAGTCTATCCTAGACCGGACACAACGATTAAATAGCAAATGAAAAATAAAAAAAAATAAAACATTTATCTTCTTTAATGCCATTTTTCTTTTCCATCTAATCCCGACAGTTTTATAATTGAGAATTCTATATCTAATCTCTAGATAATTTTTATTAATTAGAGCTTCTATGCACTTATTATTATTATCATTTTTTAATTTATTCTTCTTATGAGATGAATGGATATTTTCTATTTCTAAAAATCTTGTGTACTATTTAATCACGATACGCAAAAATTTAAATTGTATCTGAAAAATTCTTTTATATGTAGTAGGACTTGAACCTGACTCTTGACTTTTAAATTGATCGTATCATGTATTTTGGACCGCGAGTACATTATTGATACGTATCTATATATGTTACTCAGCACAGTTACATAATTTTCTAAAAATATTATTTAATTATACAAAAGAAAACACAATTTTATAAATTATATTTTTCCATACTCTTATTGTTTAATTAAAATTGTAATAAAAAGCTATATTTATTTTTACTATTTATATAATTACAAACTATAAAATTTCTCTTTTTTTTCGCTTTAAGCTTTTTAAATAATACAATGTATTTATTAAAAATAATATCTATTTAATCAGTACCTACAACCTACACAAGACACTTTAGCTAACTCTGAAATTAATAACTTTTTAGGTAATCTTTTAATATAAATAATTATCTGAAATGAAATAGTGCAATATATACCCAATGGGTATAGTAACTAGATATTTTAGATACTTTAAAGTTGAAGCTAACGGAATAGTCTGTGTTATCTTATATATGAAGTAAATATAATAACAAGAATTAAGAAAATAAAAAAGTTAATTTTGTATTATAGTAATTATAATTTATGTATTAATAAAAAGTTCCTATTAAATATTATAATATATCTACCTAGAAAATGAAAACACAAAATAATATTTGCCAAAGCAAATTGAATGCGCCGATGTTTTCATTCACGTGTTTTTTCTTTTTTTATTATCTTTACAATAATAACCGATAGTTAGTTCACAGTAGTGTTAAAAACAGTTCAATGTATCACGTTTTTTCTTCTCTTTTCTTCTTTTCGAACATAACTATTGACGCTATTGCGAGTTAACCGTTTGGTCAGCTAGCTTAACTAGAGATTGATGAAGAAGGCTCTAAAGAACGTTATTAAAAGTTAACAATTTTTATAAAAGTGAAGAATTCAAATATATCACATTACGAACAATTTACCATTTGTTGTTTACTGTTTTTGTCAGATTCTTTCATAATAAAAAAATCTGCCTAGTAACTGCCTAATAATTAAAATGTAAAACTTACATCTTAATATATTAGTCAATTGCGCTAGATAAACTTTTTTTTATAAAATAAAATGACAATTTGGATCCATTGACCAATTTAAAATTGTTAGTGATTGTAGCTAGATTATATATTTTCTATTCACCAACGCTTTTTGTTGCGATTTTGATTATGTAGCAATTTGATAACAATTACATCACAAAAATTGATTATGAATATTAGCAATATTAGTAACTTCTCAATGATAAGTCAGAAAACGTACTAACTCTAATTAATACTAGCTCTTGAATAAAATCGATTAGATTCATTTCTACACATATTATAAATAAAGAATATAAATCACATTAATGTATTATACATTTTTTTGGTCACATATTATTAATTGATACGCAAATGTTGGAATTGACAATAAAATCTGTTATCTTTTTTGACATATTTTATCGTAATTGTTGACTGTTTGTACAATTTTTTTTGTAATTTAGCTGCGTGCAATATATTTTATTTTCGTTTTATAATGACGTCATTGCTATCTATTTTTTAATTTCTAACGAACTGTTTTTAATCATCAGACATTTATTATAAAGAAACTAAAAGAAATTTTAATGATGCTAAAACATATTTTGTTATTTCTATATGACGTCTTATTTAGAACTATTTTCTGCATTTCTAAAAAAAGTAAAACAGAATATTAGCGTACCTACAATTATTCTATTGTACTTTGGTTAAAGTTGAGAGCGTATCTTTCGTTTCTTAGAAAATATCGTTTCAGAACGTGGGAATCATTTTGTGTTAAGAGGATGTTAATTATTTTTCATGAAGAATAAATGAGACGAATAAATTGGACGTTTCTTCATAATATGTTGCAGATTAAATAATTGATATAAAAACGCGTATTATTAGTTCAAGAGATTTTGTCTACTGTGTCTTGCATAATTTTTCTTTTTTGTGTAATTTTTACGTCAAATGGTATAGAATTCAATGTGTGTCCCACAATCAATAGAAATACACTCTCATACTCACCTAATGAAACTTTTCCGTGGTTGTTTAAAGATCGAGTCATCAGTCGATTCGATTTACATGCAAATAGCATTCATTTTAACGTATCTCATTGTCAATCGCTAGCAGTAGTCGGATCTGACGCAAACTGTGATATAACGTTAAATTAGTTGCACTATAGCGATGAGAAAATGCACGCTGCTTTTGCAAATCATGATTTAATATTGCTTGCATTTATGCATCAAGATTATATATGCAATCTCCTATATAATATTAGGATATAATCATCCATTATATTATTTTAAAATTGATATATATTAGGATATTGAAAATTATATTTGCGATAGAGAATACAAACGAGAAAACAGATATTATATAAGTAGATGTATTATTTCATTTCTAACATCCAAAATAACATAAAAACATTTTATTATGAAATTTTATTCGAAGAAAGTTATTCTATTGCTTCAAAGCAAATAATCTCTCAGATTAAAAGCGGATCTTAATTGAATCATATCACATGAGTTTCTATAATGCAATTTGAAAAAAAAATACTTTTTCAAAAAATCATAGACAGGCATCTTTTATATATCATTTTTTCCATTTGAATATTTTATTAACGAATGTTTAAAAGTTTGGTTGAAATTATCGTTTTCTTCTGTCTGTGAAACGATTTAGAAGCCGTTTATGTCACTTTGTTCACGCATTGAGGTTACCTACGCGTGCGCCGTTCGTTCTACGCATTGAAGTCTCCCTTGCCGTCGCGCCATTTGTTCTATGCGCGTCGAAGTTATTCGCGCTGCAATTTCGTTTCACATGATCACTCATCGCGACGATTGTATTGCGAAAAGCGGAGCTGACAATATAAGGCCCATGGCACACAAAAAACTTAAATATAAGCAATAAGGAAATCAACATGTTGAATAGGCTACGCTTAAGTTATAGTTTAACGTCTCTAAAATGATTGGTTAATTCGCTTATATCTTACTGCTGTTTATATCTTACTGCTTAAACTTTTGTGTGCCATGACTCTAATCGATTATGGTATATATTCTTCACAGTCACGCACGATGATTATTGCGTTGCTACGTATGGTATGTAGAATTTTGATTATGTTTTTTCCATTAACACCGGAATTCATTTGAATATGTTTGTCGGTCGTTATTTCCGCATACATGATAACAATCTCTTATCAACAACATATGCTTGAAAGACCGCGGTACATACCCATTTGTAAAATAATTATTTTTATAATAAAGGAACATAATTGACAATAGGCTACACAAATGACAAAAAAAGAAATGTACCAGTATTCATTGTCAATCCTTAACAAATAAATAGTTATTCATCGGGACAGTATAAATATTGCTACGACGTGACGCTATGTAACATTTACAGTGCAACCAGTAGCAGCGCAAGATTGCAATATGAGACTATCAGTGGTGTTCTTGGTCCTGATGATAGTAGTGTGTGCAATGTTCCAGGGATCTGTAAGTCTTAATTTAATCATGATCATTTATCGATAAATTTCTGAAAAATAATGAATACGTTGTATTCTGTGCGAAGGAATCTCTTCCTTGTGGTAGAAACCGTGGTAGACGAACCACGACAACAACAACAACAACAACAACAGCAGCAGCATCATAACTTTTGGCCCAGGCACAATATAACCTGAGATAAATTGAACCTTATGTCTATTTAATCATGGAATAGAAAATGTTGTGTCTCACATAGCTATTGTCTAGTTTTTTAGTCATTTGTTATCGATAATGTAACGCTTACTTCATCTAATAGTTATACCAAAAAATTAGCTAAAGGTAGAGATGAATTATTAAATTAAAGTAATTTGAATGATTAAATTAGTAGTAATCTAGACACAGCGAATGCAAATAAATAAATAAAAAACAAAATAAAATATTTATCTTTTTTAATGTCATTTTTTTTCTCTATCAAATCTATAGACAGTTTTAAAATTAGGATTCTGTGTGTTTATCAGGGGTATCTAACTTCTAGATAATTTTTATTAATCAAACTTTCTATGTACTTGTCTTTTTTTTATTCTTAAGAAATTCTTAAAAATATTCTTCTGAAGAGATGAATGAGTCATATATTCTGTTATTAAAAATTTTCTGTTCTACTTAATCACAATACACAATTTAAATTGCATCTGCAGAATTATTTTATAAGACTTGAACTTGAAACTCTTGACTTTTGAGTTGATCATTTCACATATTGCGAAGCGCGACGAATCGTATCAAAGTTATTCGCGCCGATCTGCGATTCGTTTCACGCATTGATGTCGCCCGCGCCATTCATTCTACACGCATCGAAGTTGCATTTTTGTTCCACGCATTAAAGTCATCGCGGCGATTGCATTGCGATAAGTAGAGACGAAAAATATAATTCGCCGATTATGATACATGTCCCTCACAGTCACGACGATTGTCGCGTTGTTACATAGTCACGCGGTTAGCGACGTAATGGAACGTCGAAATAAACGGTCAGAATAAACGAGCTAATTGTGTGCAGGTTTCACTTAGCGTGTCTACGCTCTCGCCGACGATGCGTAAAAATCACGTTACGCCTGTCAGTCACAGTCAAAGGGAAATGTTGTTAAGTGTATCAGCATCGAGATTAGCTCTTATCGTAAAGTACCTAATTAACAACCTGCTTAATGTACATGCACCTCGAAATTACCTTTATATTATCGATAGCTCGAGTCACGCAAGTGTCTTACCATATAGATATATTTGTATATTGTACATTAAATTTGGATATTGAAGCTAATTATATTGTATGATATAAAAATGTAAAAAAATAAAAATGTAGGTCATTTTAATATATTTATCCTAAGAACATATAAAAGTTAACAAAAAATTAAAATGACTTTATTTTAATTCTTAACATCAATAAACAATCACATTTTGTAACGAAAAATTATCTTCTTAACTTTTATTTATCAAAATAAAATCATTTGGATTTTCTCTTGACTCGGTGTGTTCCTTAGGATACTCAATCTTTTCTAAGAATATTTATGATCCAAAAAAATTTTATAACAAGATAGTAAAAATATCGAGAAAATATTTTATATTTAGAAGTTTCTTGTACATGATAATTATTGATTAAAACACATATCTAAAATACTGTCCGATTTTATAACGGTGAAATATCCCGGAAGCATAATCGTAAACTTATCGGACAATTAGATGCATGCTTAGGTATATAATTGAGAACGATTGTATAAAGTAAACCTGTCTAAACTGAGCATAATCATATGAAACAACCGTTAGCGGTTGATAAAATTACACCCGCTGTAGGCTGAAAACGCATTATTAGATTCGATAATTAACCGTTTACGACCTTTGCGAAGGTATATAGCAAACATACCGGTAGGTAAAGAAAAATTTACAATGAATCATTGATGGGCGTTTCAGCAAACACTTTGAATGTCAGATTACTAAAGATCGAATCGTACTTGATACGAAATATCATTGCCCCAGAATAACAGCAACTGAATGACGTGCAAACTACATTTACAGTTAATTTCTTAGTACAATTCATGAAAAATTCATCTTAATTTAATCTTCGGCCGAGTGGCCATTATCTTAATTGATCTTCGATAATTAGGACAAATGTCACGTAGATTTCGTTGTTTCTGATATTGTTGCTATGTAATTGATATCATTTGTGGGCATGCAAATGATCGGTAACCTTATACTTCCGGTAATAAAAATTTGAAATTATCGATATAACAAATTATTGAGATGGAGCGAAGAATAAATACTTTCAACATTAAATAATCGTTTTGAATAAAATCAAAAGTATTAAAAGTATTTATTTTTATTAATAAAAAAATTATTTTAAATTCGTACAATATGAAAATAAAAATTGGTTAAAACAATTTAAAAATACTAATTATTTAATATTAAACTAAATGCATAAAAAATTGATAATTATTTAATAACTGATATTAATAATAGATAAATAATAGTCTGTATTATATAATTCTATTTAATATCTTTGTCAATTTTTACAAATATGGAACTCAAAACAATGATTATAGTAAAAACTAAACATTATGTGCAAAGAACGCTGATGTCTTATGTTTTTTAGTATCAAAAATACCTGTGATTCCGAGCGAGGAAACATTTGCCTTACTTCTGTATATATGAGCCAATGAATGCACATATTTGCTGGCCAACTTCGCAGCTCGACGCCAATTAGAGCGAGAGATTTCTCGGAGAGTTAGCACGATGTCGGCGTAAACGGCGTCGTCTGCGAACGTATTTAGATCGTGAGCCTAACGCAGATCGTGGGGGCCTCCCAGTCCAGATTTATTATTCAGCGGAACGTAGGCAGATCGCCCACCACCGTAGCCGCCGGACCCCGACTTCCCACGCATCTCTCATTCGCCAATACCTATTTAGTCCCATCGGGGGTTGCCTCGGGTTAGACTAGCTCGCCACGCGAGTTCGGACCCGTTGTGCCATTAAAACGCGACGGCGAGTTAGAATGTAAGCAATGCGCCCGCGCAATGCGTTCGCTCGCTAGTTCTCCTAGGCGAGGCGTTGAGCACGTCTATCTAGGCTCTTCTGGGTATATTGAAAATCTAGTTTGTCGATCTAGTCTGATTTCTACCCAACCTTTGTTGTTTTTCAAACTAATAAAAAAATCATAAATTTGTCAATTTTTTACGTAATTATTTTGAAAAATTTGTTCTTTCTTTCTCTTTCTCCCAATCTTACATGTAATATAATTCAATAGAAATAATTAATTTTTAAATAAATAGATACAAGCGACTGTAAGAGATGTTGACTTTTTACGTCTATAATTTATATTTTTTATAAATAAAAATATATAAGGAAAGAATGCTGGAAAATTTTATCTTTCAATTCCATCTTTGTTCTAACTAAATTTTATTTGAGATTTAATTTTTTACATCTATTAAAAAAATTCCATTACCCAAGAAGAAAAAAAATTTACAACGGCATTGATATTCAACGAAAGCTGCTTTGTTTATCAGTTTGATTATAAATAATCTAATATAATAAGATGATATATTTAACATGTTTTTCGAGCGCGTGACAAGTTTCTCTCCGGATATCTGATAAACATACGCTATGTATGTGAGTACATACCGCTAGATATCCTCGACAAGGATCGAAAGGCGCTAACTTAGCAGGTTAACCCACACGATCGGCCGATCGCGTCATCTTCTTATATCTTCGATGACGTCACGCGTTCGCGTCGCGGCAGACGGGTTAAGGACCTCGGAATCAGTTCGCAGACCGTCCTGCTCTCGATTAATCCGGCACGAGAATTAATTTCACGTTGACGTGGCCCTCCTTTCGGCGAAAATGGGCCACGCAAACTTACCTACTTTCGCTTCGCGGCCGCGTGTACCGAGAGAAAATTAAATCCCTCTCTTGCTTTTGTCAGTAAGTCGCCATCTAAAATTCGTAACATGTTATTATCCGTATTATGGAAATGTTACGTACGTATACATCAAAGTTGCGATGCCTGTGCTACGTCTAGGCAAATTATATTCATTTCGTGTAATTATCACAAAAGATGGACGAGAGAGGATAAAGGGTTGAATGCGATTATTACCTGAAATGCGACGTACAGCGATATATATTGCGTCGAGGGGTAATAACACGCTCGCAATCTCTACCGTGTTCGTATATTCGTATTTGCCACGTGCAATAATTCCATGTGACAAGTGTAATTTGCATATAATTTGTCGAGTCCCCATCCAAAGACCGTTTACGGCGTGCCACCGCCTTCGTTCTACCGTCTCTCGCGGGGATCAGATACAAGGAGTTTCTACTAGAGAGAGAGAGAGAGAAAGAGACAGAGCATTTCTGCGAGTCTCTTTATTAGGCAAATAGTGCAGTACCGTTAACCACGCTGCGGATTATTCACTATGTAATCTCTATCTGGCGCGATTTCAAACGTTAAAGGCGTCTTAACGGAACATTAACTTCTCCTTTTCACGTAACGAACGTACCTCGCTGCTAACCGGACTGATACTGGCGGCAATCGCGCACCGCTAATTACAATTCAACGTTAGTTGACGGAATAATCTGTCAGCATCGATAATTGTAATGATTACACGTCGCCTTATGCAAACAACCCTGTCATCTTTTAATTTCTTTTTTGCCGGCGTCACCGGACGTGTTACTCTTTTCTTTCGGTCTCGGTCGCGTTCTCCGACATGCGATTCACGACGACGCCTCGGGCGGCGATAGAATAATTAGTAAATAAAGAGCGAAGACACGTATACATATCTACTGTACAAATACGTGTCGCGGCAAAGCATGCGACGAACAGGAGTACATTGAGCGAAGTTCGCGTGATGTCTTCGACGAGCGGTCTCATCATACGTTATCACTGTGACGTTAACGTGTCATTACGTAACAATTGAACTCTTGGAGACGTGTGCTTGTTAAAATCTAACAATTTTCAATAATGCGTCAATTATCGATCGCGATGAACGGGTCGCGTACACAAGGAACACGTACGCGAGCGTGTTCTGCACTCTGGTGCGAATGGGCTCTAAGCGATTCTGCACGATCGTTATGTAACATGAACGCGTGATAGATAACGGAGAAAAATTACTGTACCGATCTCGCTTCGGACTCGATCGACGGCGGTGGCGGGCTGCGGCGTGCGCGGAGAACTGCCCGGGGATGTAAGTGCTGCGCGTTGCTCGGCACCCCGAAGGGACAGGGATAAAAATCCTGCGCGCACGAGAGCGCCAGCCTGCGCTTCGTCGTGCGAGCGCGATTTACGCCCACAGCGATGCGGAGCTGCGCGACCGCCCTGGCTGGCGATAATTAGCGCGTGTGACGGAACGATCCGTCATCATCGATAATTATGACGATTACGCCAAAGAGCGAGAGAGAAGAGGAG